AACTGGCAGAGATTGACCAAGAGAGAGATCTTGGAGTCGTAGTAGATAACTCACTGAAAATGTTGCGACAGTGTGCGACTGCAATAAAAAAGGCCAACACCATGCTGGGGATTATTAGGAAGGGAATTGAAAACAAATCAGCCAGTATCATAATGCCCCTGTATAAATCAATGGTGTGACCTCATTTAGAGTACTGTTTCTGGTCACCACACCTCAAAAAGGACATTATAGCATTGGAAAAAGTGCAGAAAAGGGCAACTAGAATGATAAAAGGGTTGAATGATAAAAGGAAGAAAGGTTAAAGCGCTTGGAGCTCTTTAGCTTGGAGAAACGATGGCTGAGGGGGTGACATGATTGAGGTTTATATGATTATGCATGGGATAGAGCAGGTCAAGAAAGAAGTACTTTTCTCCCTTTCTCACAATACAAGAACTCGTGGGCACTCAATGAAATTGCTGAGCAGTCGGGTTAGAACAGAAAAAAGGAAGTACTTCTTCACCCAAAGAGTGATTAACACATGGAATTCATCTGCCATAGGAGGTGGTGGTGGCTACAAGCATGGATGGCTTCAAAAGGGAATTAGATAAACATATAGAGCAGAGATCCATCAGTGGCTATTAGCCACAAGGTATAGATAGGAACTCTCAGTCTGGGGCAAGTGATGCACTGTATTCTTGGTGCTTGGGGGGGGGCAACAGTGAGAGGGCTTCTAGTGTCCTGGTCCCACTGGTGGACCTCCTGATGGCACCTGGTATTTTTGGCCACTGTGTGACAGACTGTTGGACTGGATGGGCCATTGGCCTGATCCAGCATTTAGGTCTGACAGAAGAGACTGGACAGTAGGTTGAAACTGCCAGTCTAGCCAAACAGAAAAGGATTATTGCTCCTAGGAAGAGGAGGATATTTCTTACACAGTTATTGAGAGGGTTCAGCTCAGAAGGGACCCCTAGTTTGTGTGAAAAGGGAAACAGTTTTAGACTGCTCAAGGGTTAAAAAAAGAAGAAGTTATAATCCCACAAGGGAAGTATTTAGATATAGGAAGAAAGTACTAACTTCCAGGAAACTATATGAAACATTGTTGCTGAAAGAAATCTCCAAGGCAAACAAACCTCTCAGTTAGGAACTGAGTCTCTGAGAATATAAGCTTCAACTATACTTTGTTGCCTGTTCAAAATATTATTATAATTTGTATAAACAAGATTTACCTTAACTTCTTGTCCCCTGCCCTATTCCTAACCCAACTGTGCCTGCTCAATAAAATCAACTTTTCTGTTTGAACTTTACTTTGTGTCAAGTGCCATGTCCAACGGGATTTATAAGAGGGCCCCTGCTTAGTTACAATAAATCTCTAGCCTGGTTAAATAACTTCTCTATCACAAGGTGGGACATGCAGAAAGTTATAATTCTGTAATTAAAATATGCTGCTAAGAGGCTGCTCAGTCACGGTGGGGAACAGCATTCTGACGGGGAAATCTGCCTCACCAGAGTAAGGAAGGGAGTTGTGTATATTACAGAAATAAATTTCCTCACATTGTCTACATTTGATGCCATTTCTTAACAGGAAGCTACGTTTTGTGTGGTTTTGCGTGGTGCCCGCTTAGGACAAGCTGTGCTGAGTGATGTCCTTCAGGCTGGATGCATTCCTGTTGTCATAGCTGATTCTTATATACTGCCTTTCTCTGAAGTTCTGGACTGGAAAAGGTACATTTTCTGTAATTTTTCTGTGTGTTGTTTATTTATTTTATTTTTATTTATGACATTTATACCCCACCCTCCCCGCGAACGGGCTCAGGGCGGCTCACATAAGGCACCAAGTACGTTCAGTATACAAAATTACGTGATATAAATACAAATTTAAAACAACTTAAAATCAGTTCTACGGATGCACACATAGACTCCTAACATCTTGTGTAACGGGGGAAGGCTGGGGTGATGGAAAGATGTTACCCCACCCCCCCAGTGGTCTCTCTCTGTAACAGAGCGGTGGTGTAAGTGGCCGTTTGTTTGTATCCTATGTGAGTGTAGAAGGTTGTCATTGAACAAACCATTAAGACTACCGATGTGCATTCATGGTATGTACATTCATGGGCAGAGTGTTATATTTATATGGTGTCGGAATATGTGTGGAGAGGGTGACCTGTGACCAGCTATTACTATTCAACTTACATAGTTCACTGTCTGTCCATTCCCCCGCCCCTAGGCTGGGCTTATCAATTTGGCTCCATGAAAAAGTTTTACAATTTAATGGGACTAATGAATTAGCAAATTTGGAAGCCTGTTTGCCTTTCTTTGAAACATATTGCTGCCTAAGGAGAGCTGGTGGTACAAATAGATCAACAAAATGTTCTTGGGCAGCATTTTCTGAAATTCTACTTGTTTCCTGTTTTGTGTTTCTACCTTAGAGCTTCTGTAGTGATACCTGAGGAAAAGATGTCTGATATGTACAACATCCTGCAAAGCATACCCCAGCGACAGATTGAAGAGATGCAGAGACAGGTAGAATTAACTTAGTAGAGGACATATATTGAGAGGCCAGCATGGTATAATGGTTAAGAGCAGCAGACTCTAATTTGGAGAACTAGGTTTGTCTTTCCAGTCCTCTACATGAAGCCTGCTGGTTGACCTTGGGCCAGTCACAGTTCACTCAGAACTCTCTCAGCCCCACCTACCTCACAAGGTTCCTGTTGTGGGGAGAGGAAGGGAAGGAGATTGAAAATTGCTTTGAGACTCCTTAAGGTAGAGGAAAGTGTATAAAAAACTACTCTTCTTCCCACGGCCAGATCCAGCGGTGCTGTTCTGCCAGTACTTCCATTGGCAGTGGAGGGGTGGGTGGATAATTTTTTCCCCACCCCTCTGTTGCAGATGGTCAATTCAAGCCCCTCTGTACTGAGAGGGGCCCCTCATTCTTGGGAGCAGAGTTTGGGGTGGGGAGGAAACTTAATTGGCTACAAGGGGGAAAGATCCATTTTGCAAGCCTCACTGTACTTGCAGTTCTTTGGATTTAGTTCATTGTCCTTGGAGCCAAAACACATTTTCATAATTGGCTATTGTGAAATTGGGCAAGTGGCATAATAATCTTTATTTTCTCAAATTTCAGTGTTCAGTTTGGACATTTGTTCAGAGGGGGTGCAGAATATTGTATGTTGATGAATTGTACAGAGTAAATACAGTGAAACTTTTTAGACGTCTGTTTCACAGTGGTCAACCCTGCTGAATTTGTAAAATGTGATTATCAGCTGCATCTGACATCACATGGAGCTTAAGTCCCACAGAAGTTAATGGAATTTGGTCTGAGTAACTTTGGGACTAACGTGGGTTAGATCTTTACTTTCTAGAAATGATAAGCAGGATCAAAATAAGAATGATTAATAAAGGTTCCTTGTCAACTTGGATCTTTGATCATTGCATTTTATTACTTATGGAAGTTGGACTTGGTGGGGTTGGTTTGTAGGTGTTGCTGCACACAACAAAGGGTAGATGTCCAAGCTACTGCAAATCTTTTGCGATTAAGGCTTTCTGCCCTTCTGGCTTTCTTCTGAAGTATTGAATTAACAGGGCTCACCGCAATCGTAAATGGAATCACACCCTTTTAAGCCCATTGACTTCAACTCTATTTAGCACTTCACTGTTAGGAACTTAGTATGGGCATGCATTACTTGAATTCCTTGTGAGATCTGCAGTTCTGTCTGCATTGTGATTCTGTATAGATGTGGGATTTAAGAGGTTTTCCCAAGACACTGAAAGTAAGGTTTTGCAGTCAGCTGTTATATGCTAGAGTACCCCTCTCCTCTTAACCAGAACAATAATCTTTTTCTTTATTCTTAGGGTTCATGTAAGTCACAGAATGTAGCTTTTCATCATATAGAACTTATGTTTTTCTATCATACCGAGCACATACAGTTCTACTTACAGATACTGTAAACAAGCCTCAGGCTTGACAGTTTCAGTATAACAGTGTTGTGAACAAAGATTTAAATAAAACCATCTCATGGCCAGTGTACCGTTGTTTTGTTTGCTGGGTGATCTGAATCAAGATCTGTATGCTTAGCGATAATGCATTCCATAGATGCATTTCTGAAGTTAATAGAGATCTATCAGTGCTCATACACTACAAAATGGAAACAAGGAGGTCTTGGATAGTAGTTTTCAGGTTATGTAATCCAGATTGCTGAAGCAGTGGAGCATTTCCCTAAGTACATGCCTCCATGTACATGCACATAAACTACTTTAATTGTGATATGATCGGCTTGTCTGCACCAAGCTTTGTGAGAGAGGAAGAAATTTGACTGTAACAACACAACAAATCTGACTATGAAATAAAGCATAAACATTTCCAGTGAATATAAAAAACAGTATTTTGAAGAAATAGGAATTTTCATATGCAAATTTCTTGACTTGAAGCAGTGCAGAGAAATCTAGTGTGCTGCTGGATAATGTGAGAGCTACTTGGATTGCTTTTAACTCATGTTACTTCCATGTATGTTTTCTGTGACTCTACTGAGATTTTTCCTGTGCTTTGAGACTTTACTAATATGTCAAACAGCCAGAAGAGGTCTCTCTGCCCTCTATTCATGCTAATTGTTCTTAGCCTTGCTAGATGTTGAAACAAAATGGTTTAATACTCCAATGTGCTTAGGCTAGAAACTGTTACCTTTATAACAACAAAAGCATGGTTTTGCTGTAAGCATGTTTACGGATGTGACTGTTTTGATGTCCATTTTAGCTCTTCATATTAGCAATATTTACTTTTTTCTACAGATGCAAGGCTGCTCGTTTCAGCAGAAACATTTGCTTGTGGTGGAAATGTTGTAGGAAGTAACCATAATAGCATCAGTTATAATCTAAAACCTGCTACAGTTTCTGAATGATTGTAAGTGTAGCTCCCCCTTATTCCTTCTGATATGTAGAGGATGCAACATCTGGCAAAGATGTAGGGATGAAATTAGAGCCACATCTGTCAGTGTTCTGGAATCATAGCGCTGGAAGGGCTCCAGTGGTTCATCTGATCAATTCCCCAATTCCAAGTAAGGCTATCCCACACCTAAAACCCTTGACAAATGCATAGCTGGCTTTTTTGAGAATCCTTTCACTCTCTCTGTAGCCAGTTTATCCTGCTGCTGCCTTTTTAGTTAGGCTGTATTTATATTGGCACATTTTTTTATTTGCATGCTTTTTTCACCAACCTTATTATCACTTATGAGGCTACAAGCTTTAATCCATGGATTAATCAGTTAAATATTTAGTTGAGTAAAAGAGAACATTTCAATTGGGGAATGTAAATTCAATAAATGGAGCTGTGAGTTAAGGGTAGACTTTGGTTTTTGAGGCTGTTTTGGTTTGGGCATGTTAATGTATGAGGGAACAAAAGAGAGAATGTTACATGTACTTCATTAAATATTGGTAGCTTTTATGAAAATGTCAAGTTTTTTCCTTTTACTTCCACATCTCAAAAAGGCACTCTTATTAAGTCTTGTAATATGAAAATTAATTTAAATATGATTATCTGGTTTTTAAACCAACTATATAACTAAAAATTCTTTGATCGGCAATAATAATTTTGCTTACTTAGATTCAGCCTCTAGCATGAGCAGAACTACTTCTGCTAGTATATAGAAAGGGAGTGTGTAGGTTGCTAAGTTGGGCTGAAAGTATGCCAAGATCAGATTCAAAGGAGCAAGGATCATATTCTAAGGGGCCTGGGCCTTTGTATTAATATAAATGTCCAGGGGAAAAATACAACATGGCATTCCACACATTGCCACTGATTGTTGTGAAGTCTCATGTAAGCAGTGAATAGAACATACTTGCATTGCATGTGTTGCCAGCCCTGTTTATTAGTTGATCCTTATGTTAAAGTGTCTGTGGAATTTCCCCAGAATTGTATGGCTATGTAATTTTTGTAGGAATTATAGTCAGAAAATGGTCTCCAGCATAGATGCTGAATAGCAAAGCAAGTCTGTGGATTCACAGCATTAGCTTGCCTGAAGTAAACCACCACCTGCTCAACAGCTGTTTGCTTCTTCTATCTGTCTCTTGTTTTTTGGCTGTAAAGCTATTTCACAATGAAGTGATGGGTTAAAGATGGCCCTCGACACAAAGGTTAAAACCATACTTGTTTTCTCTCTAATGTGAAGGGAATGGGGGCGAGAAGAGGGTGCTTTGGTTTGCTGTCACATTGATTCTGTAGATTTTTGTTCTCTATGCTTTCCTTTCATTTTTGCCTGTCAGAAAGGCATGGACCTCTGTGATACTGTGCAAGCACCCATGATTAAACAAAATCACCAGAATATAAAGTTTCAGGACTGGCAAAGAGCAAGGGGAACATTATCATATTTAATGGAAACTGCTAAGAGAATTCCAAGTTGAAACTCCATGAAAGCTTATACATTAGCTTGTGGCTGGTGGGAACCCGAGTGGTAAAAGGTGGGGAGGAAGGGGGATTGAGGATAATATTCCTGTTCTACAGTTTGATTCAGGTGGGTAGCCGTGTTGGTCTGAAGCAGCAGAACAAAGTTTGAGTCCAGTGGTGTCTTTAAGACCAACAAAGTTTAATTCAAGGTATAAACTTTCGTGTGCAAGCTGTTTGCGCGATTAAGAACAAATAAGATTATACAAAGTGTTCTAGCTACTTTCAAGATTACTGTATGGTCTATTTTAATCCAAACATAGTCTTGGTAGGAGAACTGCTAATTGTTAGTGCTTAGCTGTAGCTTGCTTTTCTTTTTCTATTTTTCTTTTCTTTCTGTTTTTATAACTTATAGCAGTTGTTTAGTATTTAACTAATATTTAATATTTTCAGTTACAGTTCATATGCACAACCTGTACTGGATTTGAAGGAATGAATGTTTTTTCTTTGTTTCTAGTAGCTTTACATTTCACACCTCTGTGGCGTCACTGACACCATGTATACTCTAGAATACCGTTTTACCAGTACTTCTTTCTGGCTTCCAGCACCATACCAAGCATGTTTGCATATGTTGTCTAACACTGATACAGATTTTAAATACCAATCCTGCACGTGTCAGAACTTAAAATTCATTTTTTCCCCATCAAACCAGTTGACAGCATAACCTCCTAGAAAAATCATGATTTGTTGATAGAACTGAAACCATAAAATAGTAATAGTAATTTTAAAGGTATGTTTTTGGAGTGAAAAAACATTGTAAACACCACCCCTGCCATCTTCAGGAAGTATGTTAAAGCTTCTTCAGCATGACCATTTTACAGCTGATTTTTTTTCTGAAATTTGGTCAGATCGCACTCCTTGCCCACTAAGTTATCTGTGTTGAATCTCAGATAGAAGAGGCAAAATGTCTGGATTGTATAAGAGAATTTTCAGACATTATAGTGAGTTTAACATGGTTTTTATTATATAGGTTGTTCCACACTGTTAATTTGAGTCAGTGACCCCAAACACAGATTACAACCATTTTTTTCTAATATATGGAAACATATTAGAACATGTTTCTTTAACTTAGAATATTTTACAAAAGTGT